ATTTACATTATTATACATATATAAATTATGCAAAGCAATAATATTGTTTTTTATATAAACCTTTAAAAAAATAATATAATAAAATATTATTTTGTTTCAGGCAAATTTTCAAGCGGACTAGATTTTTTTTGACTTTCTTTTAACCATGAGTGCATAAGTATTGTGCTGGATACTGTGTTTTCATTAAGATTAGCTCTATCCTTTGTAACTGTAAAGCCAGCACGAGAAAAAGCTCGTTCACTGGCAACACTAGAAGGTTGGATACTAAGAAAGTCACAGGCTATCTGACTAAGTATAGGAAATCGGTTTGATAATAATTTCCAACTATGTAGTCCACTATTTTCCACATTAGTTTCTATTTCATTGCTTTCATTTTCAAAGTTTTCAAGAGGTTCTCGCTCATATAAATCCAACTCATATTCAAGAGTATTAATACGATGTTTTTTTGCAATTCGCCTTTTAGAAAAAATTCATTATGTTTTATATAATCTTTACATTCTATTTCCAAAATTGAAGAATTTAAACTTGTGTAATTTGTTTCATATGAAAGTATTTTTTGTCGAATATTATTAATATATTGCTCAGCTTTACTTTCTGAATATCCACCAATTTCTAATAGAGTTGCTTTTAAATGTTCCATTTTGTATCGTGGATCAAGAATATGAGCGATTAAAACATGGTCTGATATTTTACTCCAATATTTTTTAAATTTTTTTTTCATTAAATTTATAGCATTGCTATTATATTTAATATTATTAATATGCTGTTCAATTTCTAGTATTATTATTAGTGCATCTGAAATCGAATTCGACTGATCTTTTGAAAGAATTGTCGTTGCAATTGCAAATGGTTTAAGAATTTTACAAGTTAATTCTAGTTCCAATAATTCGTCCATTTCCAAACAAGATGGCATTGATGTTTCTTTTAATTGCATTTCTTTAATTGCTGGATGTAATATAATATATCTTTCAAACATATCTAAAACTGAGTTCCAACGAGTTTCAATCTCTAAAATTGGTCGTAAAAAATCTATTCCAACAACTTTACAATATGACTCTAGCAATTCAATACACCCATTAG